GGGGGGGGGGTCACGGCCTGCTATTTTCTAGAGGTGCGGTGACCTGGTGGCAGAAGGCCAAATGCAGCAAAACCCAGACTGGGTGCAGTGCTGCTTTGAGGACTTGTAAGGTTCCTATAAATGGGTTTCTCTCTCTGGAGAGCTTGCTTGCTGGAAATTAAGCTCCTGGAAGGGTGTCCTGGGGTCCCAGGTGAGCTGACAGGTTGGTGCTGGAATAGGTCATGCCCCCCAGGTGTAGCTTGCAAATCCAGCCCCTTCTGTGTGACATCCTAAGGACACCGGTAAGAGGTTGAAGCCAGGTACTATCCTCGGTGCACACTGCCCCTAGAGGCGTTGCAGGTGTGGCTGCCGTGTCCCATCTGTGTCATTAGGTGGCAGAGAGAAGAGAGGCTCGTCTACGCCTAGCGTTCTGGCTGTGAACGTCTGGATGGTTGATAGCCTGACATGGCACCCAAGCCCTGGGTTGCTGGTGTGTGCTGGCAACCTGAAGCCCATCGAGTAAAAGCTTCTTAATTCTTTCCTAGTTCTTGGCTGGCCTCGGGTCACGAGGTTGTCATGCCTCTGGCAGCAGGAGGTAGGAGCCCGCTGCTGGCGCAAGGATGAGTGGAAAAGGTGAGTAAGTTTCGGGCTGGCTTGGTGAAGATCTGAGTGTTCCTTACTGTCACATGGATGAAAAAGATGGCACCAAAAATTTTCCTTTGGAGGGTGAGCTGATGAATGTCACCTAGCAATCTGATAATTCAAATTATTTTAGGTAGGTTTAAGTGTTACAAAATATTCATGGATAGCTACTCATTCAGATACACCAGAAATCCTGTTGTAGGATTTAAAGGTTTGGGAAGGTGCCACGGGCCAAGTAAACCTCCAGCATGTGAGGTTTGAAAAGTTGCCAAGCATTGCTTGTTTCCTGTGTTGCCACTCTCCCCTCTGGTCTTGTGGACTGCTGTGTCAGGGCCTCTCTAGGAGCTCTGGGGGAGAGGGTGCAGAAATCTCTAAGGAGGGCCCTCCTGGCTGCACTCTAATCCCCACATTCTTCAAACACTGAGCTGCTGCCAGGGGCTGGCAAGGTGGTCCAAGTGTTTAATCTCCACTGTGGGCTGCCCATTGGGAGTCAGAAAGGTGACAGTGGGAAAGGTGAAGGACTCCCCGGTCAGCAGCAGCTTTGGCGGTTTTAAGTACTGAGTGGGGAGAGTAGTATAAGTATAGGGCTTAGAGCCCTGGGCCAGGCAGCTGGGCGAGAATGGCTGCCCTGCAGGTGCTGGACCTGCCGGCACCACAGACGCAGCTGCTGTGCTGCACCTGTGACATCAGGGCAAAGAGGAAGTGAAGTGGCTATTTCTACGCTCAGTGCTCAGAACAGTGAGCACTAAGAATGGTTTGTAGCCTGACATTCCTTGGAGCTCCCGGCCAGCTGGCATTTTGATTACATGTTCACGGCAGTCAGACCTGTGTTCAGGCTACAGTTCGGAACCCCAGGCAAGACCCTAAACACTTTGGTTTTCCTTTTCCTCTGTAAGATGAGGCTGTTCTGAGGACTGAATGAGGTGGGTGGGTGTAGATGCACATGGCAAACGCAGTAAAATGGGATTGACCAGGATAGGGTCTCCTGCCTGGAAATGAATGTTCTGTAGTCTGGGCAGGAGGCTTTTTAGCAGTCCTTGGGCAGAGCACCCCTGGCTAAGAACCACTACGCTGGTATGAACTCCCTGTGGGGCCCTGGGTGGGCGGTCAGGAGCCACCTCACACATGAATACACACACTATAAGAACCCTTGAGACAAGCAGAGCACTTCAAGGAGCAGGAGAGGTGCCAGAGGTTCACTCCCGGCATTTGCCTGTCAATGAGTTGGAATTCAGGGCCCATGTGGATCCCCTCAGTGGGTGAACTCTGCAAATGATTGTCCCAGCCAGGGCACTGGGGAGTGCAGGGGCCACTCTTGGTAACCCCACTGGGATGGCAGGTGTGACCGGCTGCCCTTGTCTCCTTGCAGGTGAGGAGGTGTTTTAAGTGTAAGATCAGTGGGTATCAACAGGGGCAACTTGTGTGACCCTCCCAAGACACGTGGCATTGTGTGAGGATATCAGATGGGCAGGTGCTGCTGGCATCTAGTGGGCAGAAACCAGGGATGCTACAGTCCACAGGCGCGGCCCCAAATGTCAGTAGTGTGGAGGTTGACTCCCCCTGCTACAGAGTCCCATCAGAAAACAGCTTTGATTAGGGTTTAGGGAGCCCAGGTCAGCGCAGGAATGCCTGTCCGGCTTCTCACCCTCTTTCCTTTCTCAGATCCAGGGGCCCGGGAAGGGCACGAGGCTGGTCAGTGGCAGGTGCGGGCATAGTCACCCCAGGACTCCTTCAGGACAGGTAAGTTGGGAGGGGGATGGCTCACTGGGGTCAGGACTTCTGGACCTTACGGTGGACTCTGGGTTTGCCAGAATCTGGCTGAGGGCTGAGTATGGA